AAGTAGGTGGGTCACATGAGTGATCCCTTTTATGAATGTCAGAGCTTTTGACCATGATGGGCAGGCTCCGTATCTGAGATGTATGTGCAGATATGAATAGGAGCACATAAATTATACATGTGGCTTCCGTGACAGCAACTAGCACGGCCCTTGAGAGCAGGCAGATTGTCCGGCTGTGCTTGGGTGTAATATCAACCCCAGACAAGAGTCAGTTCGAAGGAGCTTGAATACACCAAGAAGGGAGAGCTATTTCCATCAATATTTTCCAACAAGCTTCAGGTTGTGTGGGCCCAGGGGCAATGCATCAGCCTGGGATATTGGGGGGGGGAGGGTTATCTCCTTAATTACCCCCCCCCTGAAGCTTCCATTTCCTCAGTCATTTCCGCTGCCTTAAAATCCACCCGTGACCTTTCCACTTTTGAAAACACCCAGGGCTCTTGCGGGGCTGTCCTGGGACAGACGGAACATTGTTTGGCAAGCTGGATGACAAACAAGGGATCCTTTGAGCGATGTGAGAACAGCGGGATCGCAAGGCGGGCGAGAGGCTTGGCCTTTTGTTCCAGCTCCCAAAGAGGCACCAGGAGCCAATGACAAAATCCAGAAACCACATGGGGGTGGCACTAAGGCTTCCTAGGGTACTTCTTCCCACCTCTATCCTTCCTCCCTTGGGTGTGTTTTGGCTTGGGGATGCCAACCGAGAGCCACTGTGTCTGGGTGGCACTGAAGCGAGAGAGAGAGAGAGAGAGAGAGAGAGAGAGAGAGAGAGAGAGAGAGAGAGAGAGAGAGAGAGAGAGAGAGAGAAAGAGAGAGAGAGAGAGAGAAAGGGGGGAGAGAGGGGGAAGGAGGGAGGGAGGCAGGGGGAGAAAGAGAGAAATCCAGAGACCCAACAGGGGCCCAGAGAGAGAGAGGTGTCCCCCCCCCCATGTAAGGCCTGCTCCTCCTAACTTAAGAGACAGACAGCAGGAGCGATGGTAGCTTGGCAGCCCTGCAGAACTGGGAGTAAAAGAGCATTTCATCTCATGGTTTTGTGAAGGCCAGCCCTGGGATGAGTCACCCTGCATTTTCTGAAGCGATTGCAGCTGTAGCCGGGTGAGCAAGAGCAGAAGGGGCTCTGGAGGGCACCCCTGGCCACCAGCCAAGCCAAGAGGCGCCTTTGCGGAGATGTCAGGGAGAGGTCAACAGGGTGACACGCTCCAGGAAGCAAACTCTTATTTCCTAAGGCTCAGAGCTGAGAAAAGAGACAAGGGGAAGGCAGAAAAGTGTGGGGGGAGGGGCTAGAAAGAGGGAAGAATTTACCAGTGCCTCTTTCGCTCACTCAGTGGGATGAACAAAATGAGGAAGGAACAAAGCACTCAGTTTGGTCTTTGAAAGAACTCAAAGGTCATGTTGCATTTCTGCTAAAAACTGTCGGGTTGGAGATGGTTGGCTCTTGAGTGGGAGATCACCAGGAGACCCTAAACCAGTGATGGCGAACCTTTTAGAGACCCAGTGCCCAAATTGCAACCCAACCCCCCCTTATTTATCACCGGGTGCCGGGTGGACGTGGCCGTGGTGGTCATGGCAGAATGGCAGACTGGGTGGGCGGGGCCGTGGCGGCGGGGGCCAGTTCCTCACCATCTCCAGGGCACGGCACGTGTGCCCACAGAGAGGGCTCTGAGTGCCGCCTCTGGCACGCATGCCATAGGTTCGCCACCACTGCCCTAAACTGTAAGGTGGACTGGGGAAGGAAGGAAGGAAGGAAAGAAGGGAGGGAGGGAGGGAGGGAGCAAGCAAGCGAGCAAGCAAGCAAGCATTTCTCAACTTTAGCAACTTTAAAATGTTGGCTGGGAGTTGCCCACACATCTTAAAGTTGCCAAGGTTAAGAAACCAATAGCTGATACTTCTGTACTGTGGTCCAGAGAACTCCATGGACACATCCACGTAGGTCATCTAATGTTTCCCTGGTTGCCAATTTGTTTCCAGTGAAATACCAAGTACTGTTTATCATCCTTCCAGCTGTCTATGACTTACAAAGGATTACAGAGAACTTTTCTCTCCACATGAGCATCCCTGCCCCAACTTCTTGAGTTCATTTGTGGTGATTCACCTATATTTGCTCCCGGTTTAACTTGTGGGGATTGAAGGCCAACTCTTTCTCCAGCCCTGCCCGTTCATTCTTTCCAGAGCTTCCCTGCTGAGAGGCTTCTTATCATTGTTGCTCTGAAATCTGTAACAGCCCTGCCTCTAATTTTGGCTCTTATGCAGCAACGGTTAAAATATGTCAATAGTTGGCCATATGTGAAGTGTAACAAATAAAATGAAATAGTTGGTTTTTCATCTCAGATTTCTCTTTTTCACTGCCTCCATCTTGCACTCCCTCCTGCAGCATGAAGGGATTAATGTTAGACCATACCAGATTCCTCTTTCTGGGGGGAAGCCACTCCAGACGATCTCCTGCAAGGCATGAAAGTGGGAGGTGTGCTCAGTCCCTCTTTCGGAGGGTACCAGCTAGCAGGTCACCTTGTTGTTATTTGCGAAGTTGTGTCCGACCCATTGCAACCCCATGGACAATGTTCCTCCAGGCCTTCCTGTCCTCTACCCTCTTCTGGAGTCCATTTAAGCTCATGCCTCCTGCTTCAGGGACTCCATCCATCCAATTCTCTGTCATGCCCTTCTTCTATTGCCCTCCATCTTTCCCAGCATCAGGTTCTTCTCCAGTGAGTCCTTCCTTCTCATTAGGTGGCCAAAGTACTTGAGTTTCAACTTCAGGATCTGACCTTCTAAAGAGCAGTCAGGGTTGATCTCCTCTAAGACTGACAGGTTTGATCGCCTTGCAATCCATCCTCTCTTTGCCCAAATAGTGAGCAACAGCTGGTCTAAAAATACAGTCAATCCTGAAATCATCCAGGGGATTTGAAAAGTCATGTGAAACCAGGAGAGGACCCTCCATATGGACAAGCTGATGGAGTCCTTTCCTTTGATCAGTGAAGAGATTCCTGGGCCTCCTTGTGCAGTTAGTCGGCCTCAGGCTGCTGGACTAAATGGTCCAGGGGTCTGATCCTGCAGGGCGAGGCTTGTGTCCTTATGATCTCCCCAGAACAGGCCAGGAGAGAAGCGCTTGCAGCAGCCAGTAAAGACAGTCCTCGACTTACAACCACGACTGAGCCCAAACTTTATGTTGCTAAGAGAGAAATTTGTTAAGTGAGTTTTGCCCCATTTTACAGCTTTTCTTGACACATTTGTTAGGTGAATCCCTGCAGTTCAGTTAGGAGCACGGTTGTTAAGTCAGTCTTGGCTTCCCCCCTGACTCTGCTTGTCAGGAGGTCGCAAAAGGGGATCGCGTGATCCCAGGGGACACTGTAGCCCTCATAAATATGAACCAGTTCTCAAGCATCCCAATGTAAATCACCCAGGATGCTGCGAGTGTCGTAAGTGTGAAAAAGAGTCCCTTTTTTCAGTGCCCTTGAAACTTGGGACGGTCACTAAGCAAGCGGCTGTAAGTCGAGAACTACCTGTATTAGGAAAGGCAAGCAGAGCAGACTAAACAAGCCCCCTTCACACGTGCCCCCAAGACACGTGCTCCCGCCCTTGGAAGAGAAAAGGCTTTCCAAGCTTTTGGCACCGGGAATGCACTGAGGCACCCCACACGGGGCCTCCGGCCTGTCGCCACGAATTAAGACGCTTGATGCCCTCTCTGCCGGGAGAGGAATCCCGCGCGGGCTGGCTCCGGCTTCTGCTCTTTCTGCCCGGCTCCCCGGCCAAGAAAACCCACCCAGCGCCAACCATTGTGCGCGAAAGTCCCCGCTGGCTGCGGATCAGGCAGCCAAGAAGGCATCGGCGGCGGCGTGCTGCCCTCTAGTGGATCACGGCCGCGTCGCTCGGTGCGCCAAGCTGGCTGAAGAATCCTTCGGGCACCTTTTCGCGGATGCCGAGCGGAGCGCAGCGCAGCGCGACCCAAACACGCAGACTCCTGCTCCATCTCGGGCTCTATAGACCCAGGAGGCTCGGTTGTCCGCCTTCGGTCTTAAAAATTAACACACACACACGCACGCACGCACGCACACTCTCACCGCCGCAACTTGATTGCTGCAGTGCTGTGCCACGAGAGACATAAAGCGATGCTCGGGACTAGCGCACCTTTTCGGTGCGGACGGATGACATCTAGCGGTCGCCGCGTTTTTGCAGTTTTATATTGACCAATAAAGGAAAATATTTGCTTACGTGGTCTATTGGTCTGTTTATTGTTATTTAGAACTGAAGAAACTTCTTGGATGAGAAGCGAAACTTTTTTCAAGGAAAAAAAGAAAGTCCAGCTACCTTTTGGAAAAGCACCTTTGGGACAACCATGACTTGGATGATTGAGACTCTCCGTGGAAATTTCTTTTACTTCAGTTTTTCAGACAGGACCATTTTAAGGTGTGTGGGCTTCAAATCTCAGCATTTCCCCAGTCAGGATTCATTCATAGCTATCTTTTTTGAAAAAGCCCCTCAAACTTGGTAATTTTAACAGGAGTGGACTTCAACTCCCAGAATTCCCTAGCCAGAAAAACATCCTGAAGAAACACACTAGCAAACTACTTCTATATGGCTATTAGAACCCATGGACTTGTCTATAAAGCCACTAGTAGACCTACTTGACACAAAAGAGGCTTTACCCAAACCATATTCAACCAGATTACTTTATTTTATTACTAGTGGCTTAGCCAAATTTGTATATTGAAGGCCAAACTTCACAGCTCAAACGATCACCCAGCAAACAAAAGTTTTCTTCCTCATTTTAAGGATTATCCTTTTATTTCTCCAAATGGCTTTTTAGGAAAACATACTTGAGACTAGTTGGCAGAAGCAAACTGGGTTTTATTCTTGTAGCTACCATGGTGCTGAGCTTAAAGTGAGCAACTATTCATGGCGGGTAAAGTGCTGTTCAATCTGCTGTGTTTTTGCTCCAACACATCAGTAATTTTATCACATTAAAACTTGTGAAAAGCATGGAATGGTATTGAAGGACAGAGGGAATAAAATTTTGTGTACTTCGCAACTTTAATTATACATACATTCAACCATTGAATAATCAAGACTGTATCTAACTATGACTCCTAGCATCATCCAGAGCTTTTTTCACCTCCTGAGTTACAATGTTCTCTGTCCCTTATTGATTCAACCAAAGACTATATCAGCCTGAAAATCTCTCTGTGAATGATAGACCTCATTGTCTGCAATGTCCATCCATCCATCCATCCATGTTCCCAGGAAAAGAGGTCAGCAGGGAGTCCAGGACACTAAAGTGCTGAGGAACAGAAATAGGAAGATGAAAAGTACAAGTTCTACTGTCCAACTAAAGAAAAAGACATGGAAGCATCAGATTCCCCATGAAAGCCTGCAGATGGTTTGAAATGGCCCTCACCAGGAAATAGATTATACTGGTATTTGGAATTCATCTCATGCAGTTGGGTAACTTTTTTTTTTTAATTTGAAGGTTGCAAGTGATGGTTGGGTTGGAAAAGGGTAGCTGGGATTTATTCCCACCACTCATACAGAAACATGAGCAAATCCCATTCACGCCACTCACTCCTAGTGGGGTTGATCAGGGTCACAGAGAGGAATGGAACCTTGCAAATGGCTGATCTGTTGTTGCAGGAAGCTGGTTTCAAGTGGGCTTCTTGGGAGATGGGGGAGGGGGGGGAAGATGGGCTGGATGGGGATTTCTTAAGGATCTCAAGAAGAAAAAAGAGAATTTATAGAACCAGTGACTGGGGGTATTTTGAAGACAAGGAGCACTCAGGCAGAAAGCAACCTACCGTGATCTAGCAAATTGCTACTGTATTTCAAGAAAGGACCAGCTGAGATGATGGCTGATGGAGGCTTCCTTCCCACTATCACAGAGTCTGGTGAATGGCAGTTCTAAAACAGGGAAAACAAAATGTCATTATCTTGTTCAAGAGAACTGTCAGCCCAACAGACCAGACTAAGACACCAATGTTATGTAGGTCAGGATTACCATATTTTTATTGTAACTGAACCTTGCACTTTATGGTCATGTAAACCAAGGAGGGGCTTGGCTACGCTCTTTTCTCAAATTGGTTTCCTGGGAGACCTCAAAATTTCTGGTTTGGAAAGACAAAAAAACCCCCAAAACCCAGCAAAACACAAAGTGACTCTATGGCAGATCTCAAACTGACTGTTCTGGAGAAGCAAGACTTTAACAGTTGCAACAAGGAAGAAATTGTTGGACTCAAATACAATCTCTATGGCAATCTTAGAAGGTCTCAATAAACACAATAGATTTTTTTTAACACATTACACGTAATCTGCACAACCAACTTATCCTCCCCTCCCTCAGCCTAATCATCTATGCCTCTGATGAACGCTGATGCTTTTTAATAAAATACGTATTTTAATAAAATATATTACAGGCAGTCATCAATTTATTATCACAGTTGAGATCTGTAATATCAACAAGGCAACATTGTGCTCGATTTTACAACTTTTTGTCATGGTTGTTAAGTGAATCACTGCACCTTGTTAAATGAATCATGCAGTTGTTAAGGGAATCCATCTTCCCCCATTGACTTTGCTTGCCAGAAGCTGGCTGGGAAGGTTTTGCAAATGGTGCATGATGCTGGGACACTGCAGATCATGTAAATACTTGCCAGTTGCCAAGCACAGGAATTCTGATCACCTGATCATGGGGATGTTTCAATGGTCATAAATGGACTGGCTGTAAGTCACTTTTTCTGTGCTGTCATAACTTTGAATGATCACCAAAGAAATGGTCCTATGTCAAGGATTATCTGTATTAGATTCACGAATGAAGGCGAATATACATGTCCCAGCATAATGTTGCAGGTTCCAATCTGGGTCGCTCACCAGAGGTTTAATCTTCTGAGTTTTTGGACTCATGCTGGAGCCCATCTCAGGAAAGTTATCTCTAGTATGCTGTTGTGTGTATGGTATTTATAGTATCTGTTGTAAATGGCTTTTAAGATGTTGATTGAGGTGTGTTGATGGCTGGCTTTTAAGTCATTAGCTGTCTTTTTCTTGTGCTGCCCAGCCCTGGCCCTCTAAGTACTTAATAAATCACTCCTGTTAACTGAGAAGGGGCCCATTTCCCAAGCTTCAATCATTTCCCCGGCTGTTTTTGTACCTGCTCATCCAACAATCTTGGTAGTTGCAAAACTGAATCCGTGTCCTTGTTCATTACAGTGTGAGGCTACCAATGAGTTCGGATCTCCTCATCTGACCACTCACATGTGTTCTTGCAATCTGGTGGTTAACTTCCTCCCCGTCTGTCCTACATAGGCACAGGGGCAATCCATGCAGGGAATCCAGTAGATTACATAGGGAGTATCTCCCAATTCCAAGCATTTTTTACCATGCATAAATACCATACCCAGAACAGCACACACTCTGCTAGAGAGAAGTTCCCTGAAGATGGTCTCCAGCACAAGTCCAAAGCTCTGAAGACAAAATCTCTGGTCCTGGTGATCCTGTATTAGAGTCCTTATTTTTGCTGTTACAGATTTAACAAGACTCTTCTCGTACAATGTCAAAGAGAGATCTGATCTACAGTTTCTCCTCCCTCTCTCACCACTGTGCATTTGGCCACCCAGAAGTTGCAGAGGCGGATACGACAGTGTAGATACACTTCTTCAGAATCTGCGATGAATGTGAAAACATTGAAGGAGAAGCGCCCCAACAGAGATACTCCGTCCTCCTCAACTTGCACTGTGCTGTCTTGAGGATTGGGACACCTGCAGAGGGACAGGTAAGATCAGAGAGAGGAGTAGCAGATGTTAGAAGGGATGATGAGGTCAAAGATCACTGTCAGAATCCAATCATATTTCATCTTTAATTATCAAATATAGAAACTCCCAATTCTGCCTTCTTTGGATTCTGCCATAAGAGGGAGAGAAGGGGGAGAACAAAAGGGCTTTATGGCCCTCACTTCCTTCAGTAGACTTCAAAGAGCTGAATGCTGAATGTGTGTTTATTGTAACCTATTGTAACCTCAAAGCGTTAACACCAGAGAACATTAGCATTAACAAAGAAGAGTATTTGCCTTTCATGTAGTTATCTGAAGTCTCCATCCAGACGGAAGAAAGAAGAAACGGGGTGGAATTGTGATACTTGAAACTATCACTGGGAAGGGGGGTTGATTGGGTGGGACTACTGGGGAACCCCTTAAAACCTTGAATGGGAGAGCTTGGACCCCAAGTCCTGTCTAGCATGCCTGCAACCATTTTCGCTTAATAAAGGATTCCTTTTGGAAGAACTATTCCAAGAGTTCTGTCTTCTTAAGATGCAAAGTGGGGTGGGTCCTTACATTAGACAGGACTTGCAAAATTAATCCACCTGGAAGGTAGACCCTTGCCGGGGGATTTTGCAAAAATTTACCATGTCAGACAACGAAGCAAGAGAGGGAGAAAACTCCCTGGAAAGAGAGCCGCTGACCCAGTTGGAACCTTGCCAGATGTTGGGATCCGAGAGGCCAGATTTCTCAGAAGAAGAAGTGGTGGAGACACAGGACCACAAGCCTCGCTGGTCGATGGGCGTTGGAAAGAAAAGCGAGTGGGGAAAGGAATCAAGAAAAGCGACCCTGAGACGGGGGACCAAGCAACCAGAATGGAAGCAGGAGATGGAGAAATCCCTGCACGCAAGTGAAGAGGGAGGAAGCTGTATGCCGTACTCAGACTGGATCCTAGAGAAAGCTATTGACCTGATGAAGAGAACTCTCAGCTCCCTAGGAGAGGAGATTCCTGAGCCCTACGCCCGCCCCAGTTCCTGGAGCCACAAAGGGAGAGACACCGAGGGGGACGTGGAACCTGCAACCCCAGGGACATTTACTGATCCAGGAGCTCCCACCCCTACCGGACCACAGATGGAAATCTGGACGGAAGACACTACCACCCACAATGGAGGCACCGATCCATTCCAAGACGTCCACCGTTGGAGGTGAAATTCAAAGGGGAGCCAACACGCTTGGGGTTTTTCCTAACCCAAGTCCTCAGCTACATGGAGGAATATGGGCAGGACATCCCCAGCGACAAAGCCCGCATCCGGATCGTGCAATCTGCCCTGGATGGACCAGCTGCAGATTGGGTGGTGAACCTGCATGACTCCAATGCCCCAGAACTCAGTAACTTCAACCGTTTCATGTCCTCGTTGAGAAGACGATTTGAAGACCCCCTGGCTGATCGCAAAGCCCGTGAAAGAATAACAACGATGAGGCAGGGCAAACGCCCAGTGGCTGAGTATACACAAGAATTCCGAGCCATTGCCAGCAAACTGAATTGGCCAGAAGACATCCTCCTTGGCCGTTTCAAAGACGGACTAAACTATGATCTATATGATGCTTGCCTGCCCCGAGGAGACCCACATCGACTTGAGGAATGGTACGTCTTGGCAGAGGAAGCAGAGATCGACATATTGAAGAGGCATCGCCGAGGAAAACAATGGAGCCGCCCCCCGCCTGAGCTGACACATCAACCGGTGAAATCAGCGGATACAGCCAAGAAGCAGATGGGGTGTTTCAAGTGCGGAAGAGAAGGGCATCGAGCTGTAGAATGCCGCTCAAAGGCCCCCCAGCACAACCCAGACAGATCCCCAATCAACAAACCCAGAGGGTATTCAGCTAAGCCAAAAGAAACAGCCATGAAAATGATGGAAATTGCAGAAAACCCCACCTCTGCTCACCAAGGGGAAAGAACTCCAGCCTACACCACAGGGACGGTGGATGCCTCAGATGACAGCTCGGAAGGCGAACCCCTGGTAAGTGGACGCATCACACCCATCTTCAAAACAGTGACTATATTAATCCCCCCCATGCCCGAAGCTGTGAAGGTGAAAGCCTTAATAGACTCTGGCTGCACCCGCTGCCTCATTAGCCCAACACTAGTGGGGAATCTGGGCATCCCATCCAGGAGACTGGAACAACCAATCTCATTTGGCCAGTTAGATGGATCCATAGCAGGGGGGGGGTGCCAGCTACCCTAGCCACTCTGCCAATACACCTCTCCCTGGGCAACCATGAAGAGGACTAACGTTTGTGGTGACCCCAGGTATGGAATGCCCAATGATTCTAGGGATGGAATGGTTGAAAAAATGGAACCCCTGGGTAAATTGGAGGACGACAGAAATCAAATTCCCGAAGGGGGACCCTATGGACTTAAAACCCCAAGAGAGGCTACCAGAATCAAGAATAGAAAAAGCATCCATAGGAGAGGAAAAAAGATTAACAGAAATACCAGAGGAATATAGGGACCTTGCTGAAGTCTTCAGTGAGGAGAGGGCGAATGAGCTTCCCCCCCACCGACCCACAGACTGTACCATTGAATTCAAGCCTGGGGCAAAACTCCCGAAACCCAGATTATACTCCATGAGCCCAAAGGAGAAGGAGGAAATGGAAAGATTTATAAAAAAAAACCTGGAGAGAGGTTTCATTGAACCAGCTAAGCCTAAAGTGGCTGCCCCGGTCCTTTTTAGAGAGAAGAAGGATGGCTCTTTACGTTTATGCGTGGATTATAGGGCCCTGAATACAATCAGTGAAAGCAACCTATACCCGCTGCCCCTCATGAAAGACATGCTGTCACACCTATCGAAAGGGAAAATTTTTTCTAAACTAGACCTAAGGGAAGCTTACTATCGCGTGAGAATCAAGGAAGGGGACGAATGGAAGACTGCATTTAACTGCCCCATGGGGTGCTATCAATTCAAAGTCTTGCCATTTGGATTACAAGGGGGCCCTGCAGTCTTTATGCAATTAATCAATGACGTTCTAAGGGAGCACCTGTTTAAGGGGGTCCTTGTTTACTTGGACGACATTCTTATCTTTACCGAAACAAAAGAAGAACACGTCAAACTTGTCAGAGCGGTTTTAAAGAAGCTGCGAGCCGCTCACCTATATGCCAAACTCTCAAAATGCGAATTCCACCAGGAAAGGATAGACTACCTAGGCTATCGCATATCCCCACAGGGCATTGAAATGGACCCAGAGAAGGTCAGAGCAGTATTAGAATGGGCACCACCCCGCACAAGAAAGCAACTACAAAGTTTCCTGGGCTTTGCAAATTTTTACAGCCAATTCATCCCCTCATTTGCACAGATAGCCTTGCCCCTCACCAACTTACTAAAAACGAAGGGAACATCCTCAGTAAAACCTAGCCAGCCACTAACAGGGACAATGGAGTGCCAAGCAGCGGTTGAGAGACTAAAGAGACTTTTTTCTGCCGAACCAGTACTAAGGCACCCAGACAGCGGACAAGCCCTTCATAATACAGGCAGATTGCAGATGATGTGGCATTGGGGGGCTGTGCTATTACAAGAAAAAATGAATGCTGATGCAGTATTGCGCAACCCTGGTGATATATAATACATTCCAAGAAACTCACGGAACAGAACAGCGCTGGCCCGTATGGGAAAACGAGGCATACGGGATACATTGAGCATTACTCACGTGGCGACAGTTCCTGGAAGGCAACAAAATCCCTTCCAGGTGTGGACTGATCACAAAAAATTTGGAAGCCCTAAAAACGCCCAGGAAACTCAATCCCAAACAAGCCCGCTGGTCCCAGCATTTTCACCAGTTCCAATTTAAGCTCAAACATTTACCAGGAGAAAGAACTTCCTGGCAGATGCACTATCTCGCATGCCTCAATATAACAGCGCACGAACCACAGACTCTAAACCAATAATGGCAGTCACAACTGGCAGCACCAGTAACCACAAGAACCCAAGCCCAATTAAAACCA